CAACCATCTTCAGCTGCTTCATCAATGACCTTCCCTCCATCATAAGGTCAGAAGTGGGGATGTTCACTGACGATTGCACAATGTTCAGCACCATTCGTGACTCCTCAGATACTGAAGCAGTCCATGATCAAATGCAACAAGATCTGGACAATATCCAGGCTCGGGCTGCCAAGTGGCAAGTGACATTCATGCCACACAAATGCCAGGCTATGACCATCACCAATAAGAGACAATCTAACCACCGCCCCTTGACATCCAATGGTGTTACTATCACTGAATCCCCCACTTTCAACATCCTGGGGGTTACCATTGACCAGAAACTCAACAAGAAACACCACATTAACGCAGTGACTACAATGGCAGGCCAGAGGCTGGGAATACTGCAGCGAGTAACTCCCCTCCTGTCCCCTGCAAGTTCCCCTCCAAGCCATTCAGCATCCTGAATTGGAAATATATCACCATTCCTTCAGTGTTGCTGGGTTAAATTTCCCTCCCTAAAGGCATTGTCTGTCTCCCTACGCACCAGGATCTGTTTTGCTTCAAGAAGGCAGCTCACCAGCTCCATCACAAGGGTAATTCAGGATAGGCAATAAATGCCAATGACATGGATCCCTGAAACAAATGAAAATAATCTCCCATACTTGCCCTGTAAATTCTACTTTGTCTGAAAGCCCAGGTTGTAACTTGTGACCCACTGTCAGGGACTTGGTATAAGTCTTGACCTCTCAGACAGTATCTTGCCTATATTGGCAGTGCCCTGGATACCAGAGTTTGAGACTAAATAAAAACCAAAAGAACTGCGGATGCTGTAAATCAGGAACAACAACAAAGTTGCTGGAAAAGCTCAGCAGGTCTGACCGCATCTGTGAAGAGAAAAGCAGAGTTAATGTTTCAGGTCCGGTGACCCCTCCTCCAGTTCTAAGGCAGGGTCACCGGACCTGAAACATTAACTCTGATTTTTTTTCTTCACAGATGCTGTCAGACCTGCTGAGTTTTTCCAGCAACTTTGTTTTTGTACCAGAGTTTGAGATCTGGCCAGTGTGAGTGAAGGATTCCTGTGTCAGATGTCAGGGAGCTCTTGTAGTTTTTGATCCTACTGGGGGTGTGGGGTGGGATGGGCTGGGAGTGGGGGTTCTGAATGCCGGCTTGGTGTGTTGCCATACAGCCATGCTGACAAAGGGTTTGTAAAAGGTCTGTCAGCGATGAGCAATAGGACGCGTATAAATGTGTTCTTCAAACTGCCGTCATTGACTGAGGTGTGAAAGGTTCTGTCCTCCATTCCAAGGTGCCCTCACCCAGCGCATTGGATAGCCCAGAGCAGCGGTCATTCCGTGACAGGCAGAAATACTTTGAAATTGATGTGAAACAGCAAGTGGCAGAGAAACCCAAGCGAGTGTCACTGGTGGCAGAAGATGATCTGAGGAAGATGAAGGAAGAGGAAGGTAGGACGTGTTAGTGTGTGGTCTGGGGGGAGTTGTTGGGGGAGGGGCTTCTTTCCTGAACCTTCAGGTCAGACCAACCAAAACCATTCCCAATCAGTTTCCTAGAATCCTGCTTCCAGCGCACAAATTGCCAAAATCATTCCAAAGCTTTTTCTGCCTCTGGAACATTCTACAGATCGGGAACTGTTCTAATAATTGACCAAGAGTCTGCCTTTGTCCCCCCAACAACACACCTGTCACCTATCTGTGCAGTAGACCAAACCAACCATTCCCCTCACCCCTTTTCTTCCCCCCCCCACCCCAAATGTTCCCCTGACCACTTCCTCCACCTCCCCAGCCCCAAACGTTCCCCTGACCACTTCCTCCACCTCCCCAGCTCCAAACGTTCCCCTGACCACTTCTCCCCACCCACCAAAGCCTCAACCATTCCCCTGACCACTTCCCCCCCACCCCCCCCACCTGTTCCCCACACCACCCTCCCCCTCTCCCCCACCACCCCAAACTGTTCCCCACACCGTTCCCCAGACCACTGCCCTCCCCACCCCATCACCCCAAACTGTTCCCCTGACCACTTCCCCTTCCCCCTTCTCCCAACTGTTACCCCTCACCCCTTCCTCCTCCAACCTCTCTGCTTCGCCCCCTCCCCGACTTCAACCATTACTGCTCCACCTTCCCATCTTCCCCAGCAGCAATCCTTGAACGATCCACCTTCACCCGACTTGTTCATCATCTTTCCAACATCGTCCCCTTCCACTCACCCACCATGGATCCTTGCCCCTCCCGAAAGCCCAACTTTCTGTTCACCAACCACATTCTCAGCTCCCACCTCCCACTCAATCATCATTTTCCTGCCACTCAAATACAGGTGTATCAATCCAGTCCAGGCTTTTCCTTGGTGAGATGTGTTCAAACATTATTCTCAAGTGATATGTGGGTATTGCTGACAACCAGCGTTTGTCACCCTCCCTAAGTGCTCCTGAGCAGAGTGTCTTGCTTGGCCATTTCATTCACGAATTAACCGTGTCGCTGTGGCTCTGGAGTCACATGTAGGCCAGATCAGGTGAGAATGGGGGATTTCTCTCCATGAAGGATATCAGTGAACAGATTGATGGTTTAAAAACCAATAGTTTCCCGGTCACTATTACTGAAACTGTTCATGCGTTGTAGGTTTATTCATTCAAGTTAAATTTCACCACCTACTGTGGCGGGATTTGAATCCTTGTCCTGAAGGCCTGGCTGTCTGGACTACTGATTTAGTAGAGTTGTACAGTGTAGAAACAGGCCCTTTGGCCCACTGAGACTGTACTGACCAAACTACATTGATCCCATTGACCTACACTTGGCCCTTAGCTACTTGCAGTGTCTTTTTCACTACTCCAGCAGCTCTTCCAAATGATGGTGCTGGTCTGTGGTCACCCAGATTGGTCACAGTGAGAGGCAGTCTGCAATCCAGCAGATCCAATTGGGGTAAAACTCATAAGAGAAACTGACTCCCCCCGCTTCCACATCCCTTTTTCTGTCCCAGAGCGGAAGATGAGGCACCGAGCTCACGACGTGGTGCTGGATGAAGAGGAGGAGGAAGATGAAGAGAAGCGGCTCTCTGATATCAGTGGTCAGGTCAGCGTGATGATCGAAGGGGTAGAGTACAAGATTGAGCGATTGGACGGAAGGAGTCAGGAGTCCCCAAGCGCCGGGTATGTAGCATATTTTAACAGGAACTCCAAAATCTGGAATCAAATAGCAGCTAACCTTGCGTGTGTCCCCGTGATCAGATTAAAGCAGCAGCTGTCCAAGGTGCTCAATGAGTCCAGTCACAGATTACACTAATATTGCAGGCAGCTGGATGACTCGAGATGGGTGGGTGGTGACCCCAGTAAAACCTCTGGGCCCAATTAAAGCATCTTTCTGTCTCTCAGAGGTTTACAAGTTGATGTTTGGGGAGAGCAACAAACTGTAGCAAGTGAAGAACAGTATCCAAATCCAATGACTGGCTAAGACACTACCAGCTGCATGCACTGCACTGATGAGGTGTGCCTGGGGGCGAGTCACCTCATGGTGAAGTGATGATGATGCTGTGGTTGTTTCTCCATGTTGATGACGTGTATATATCTCAGTGATTCACTGCCAGAGTACCGTGTTCCCCTGCATGTCACAGTGACGCTTTGTGTGTGCGCGTGTGTACATCGCTGTGACACTGTGTGCGTACATCGCTGTGACGCTGTGTGCGTACACACACATTGCAGTGATGCTGCGTGTGCCTGGTTTATTAATACAAGATCTGTGGCTCCCTGCAGAGTGCCTGCAGCATACCCTGAGCCTGCGGCTCCGATTCGGACAGCGAAGGCAGAGAGGCGCTATCAGGAGAGGCTGCGAATGCAGAGCCCGGACCTGCCTGTGGGACAGGACAAGGAGCTGTCTCCTGCTGAACGACGAGCCCTCGAGGCAGAGAAACGGGCCATGTGGAGGGCTGCAAGGTGAGACTGAATTCACTGGGAGGAAGGGGGCGTTTGTCAAACTCCCAGTCCCAACACTCCTGTCTCACTCGGTAGGGCTGGTCCACCGTGAAGACTACTGAGCTCACCACAGGCTGGGATTTGACCTCTGCTGGCTTTATTAACCCAGGGCCTTCATTCTCCGCCTCCCAGACTCCATTGATCCCCTTTGTTACAAATGGAAGAGGTTAGCATTGTGCTTCTCTTGCAGCCTGCTATACTGGGGGGGAAGTGGAGAGAGGAACAGTGGAGAGGGTCAGCTATAAGACTAAACACAATTCACGTATGTTAGTCTAAGAATGTCTCCAATCTCTCTGGGAATCAGGCGACAGTCTCAGTATCTCTGGACAATTCGCCTCAGTCTGTGGGACCCTGTACCCCAGTGAGAGTCAGTGTGTGTGTGTGGGATCCCGTACCCTAGTGAGAGTCTGTGTGTGTGTGTGTGTGACCCCGTACCCCAGTGGGAGTCAGTGTGTGTGTGTGTGTGTGTGACCCCGTACCCCAGTGGGAGTCAGTGTGTGTGACTCCGTACCCTACTGAGAGTCTGTGTGTGTGGGATTGCTGCTGTTCTAATTTCAGTTTCTATTCTGAAAGTTCATCTCTGAAACATTGTGGAATTGTTGCAAGGCGCTAAGTACGATGTGTGCATTGTTCTCACGAGTCTAGTGTGAAACACTGAGCTATCTGATTGTCAACTTCATTCCTCACTTCCGTCTTGTTAATACTTTCCTTTTCTCTTTTCTTCCATGTACTTTTCTGGTTTCTCCTTTGTGTTTGTCTCCCTCTGTCCTCGGCCTCCACTTCTTATGGCTCAGGCACCAAGCCCTCGAGGATGATCTCAGACAGTACAAACAGGAGCAGGCTCGCCGTCTATACCAGTCCCGCCAGCGGGCAGCTGAAGTGCTCAGCCTGGGCCAGGGCTCCCGTGTCAAACCGCTTCCGGTGGTCAGGCAAGAAGGCCTGTGCACTGAGTTCAGGTGTGGAGCTGCCGTGTGCCTGCTGCATGCTGCATGCTGAACTTCCAGTCAGATTCCGAACCTCCTGGGTCTTTAATAGCCTCACTGCTAGACTGATCATCACAGCAGCTTGATATAAGATCACACTTCTCAGCCAATCTAATGCCTCGGTGCATTTCACAGAGCAAACTGAACCGAACAATCGGGTAAATTGACTGAACTCTTGCTTCCGGGGGTAGGATTGAAGGAGGAAAGCGAGGGTTAGGGAGTGACAGTCCCACGGGAGCTGAAGAGCCACTGCTGACAAGATTGGAATGATAGAAAGAGGGAATGGTAAAAGAGACTGAAATGGAAAGACTGCGGAGATCTGGAAAGATGTTTGAGATGTTGGAGGTTTACAGAGGTTGATGAGGCCAGGGCCTGAATCCAGCTCTCGTCGTTCACATGGTAATGTTACTCCACCTGGTAATCCAGAGGGCTGGATAAATAATCTGAAGATATGAGTTCAAATCTCACCAGGTCAATTTAAATGGAGAATTTAAGTTCAATTAATTAAATAAAGCTAGAATAAAGGTTAGTGTCAGTGGATTGTACAACTTCTAGATTGTTGCTTAAAAGAAAACACTCATCTGGTTCACTCGTGTCCTTTAGGGAAGGAAACTGACCATCCTTACCTTCTCTGTCCCACATGTGACATCATTGCAGAGATTGCAAACCGAAACGAGGAGAAGGTATAGACCATCCAGCCTTTCAGGAAGATCATCGCTGATCTGATTACTTCAACATCCTGCCTACCACTGATGACCTTTTGCCCCTTGATTATCAAAAATGTCTCTTTTGGTGCCTTAAAAATTACCCACCGCCTTTTCAGGAAGAACAGCTAACTATATGAAAAATGTTTTCCCTCATATTTTCACCCCAGCTTTTTTGCCAGTTAGTTTAAATGTATCTCTGTCAACCAGAGGAAAAGGTTCGACCTGACTTGGTATAGCAGAAACTGTCAGAATTATAAATCTTTCCAGTAGATTTCCTCTTAACACACACTCCTCCAGTTCCTCCTGTTGTCAGATGTAACTGAACTACTTCTGTCCCTGATATCATTGTGGTAGCCTCTGGAGTACACTGTTCAGGGCAGTTGTACCCCTCCTGGAGTGTGCTGTCTGGAATTGTACTCAATTCTCCAGCTAGGGGCCTAACCAATATTCTGTAAAGGTTCCGTATAACTGTGTGTATTCGCTGTCCCTGTTTACATTAGCTGTTACGTGCACATTCATATTCACCTTACCAACCTGCCATGTCGCTGTAGAGATTTGTGAATCTGCATTCCCTAAGACCGTCCAAGATAGGAACAGGAGAAGACCATTCAGTCCTCACATCCACCTTCCTGTCCTTTCTCCATAACCCTTGATTCCCTGATTGATCAAGCTTTCATCTGTCTATCTATCTCAGCTTTAAATGTACACACGGTCTCTGCCCCCGTAGCTCTTTGTTGCAAGGCCATACCAAAGACTCAATCCTCTGAGAAACTAAAGTCTTCCTCATCTCAGTCTTAAATTGGCACCCCGTTATTCTGAGACTATGCTCTCTGGTTCCATGAGGGGACACATCCTCACAGCATTTACCCTGTCAAGCCCCTTAAGAATCCTGTGCGCTTCAATGAGAAACACATTCCCGTCCTTCTAAACTCCAGTGAGTCCCAATCTGGCTAGCCTTTGCTCATAAGACAATTCCTGCATACCAGGGATCATCCTAGTGAGCTTTCCCTGAACTGCCTCCATTGCCAGTTTGTCTTCGATGAGGAACAAAAGCAGAAGTTGCTGGAGAAACTCAGCAGGTCTGGCAGCTTCTGTGGAGAGAAAGCAGAGTTAAATGTTTTGGGACCAGTGATAGTTGTTCACCATCTGAAGAAGGGTCACTGGATCTGAAATGTTGACTCTGCTTTCTCTCTACAGATGCTGTCAGACCTGCTGAGTTTTTCCAGTAATTTCTGTTTTTGTTTTTAGAGTTCCAGCATCCACAGTTCTTTGTGTTTTATCTTATATAAGGGCCTGGTAAGGTCATAGTAGGCCCAGATCCCAGTCGTGGCCACTGCACATATACCCTCAGTCAGAAGGCAGGATCTGCATTGTTCTATGACCCTTCCTCTGATTAATTAACAATTCTATAATTCCCACCCCCCCAACAACACTGCATATCACACAACTACCTGCCTGCTTCAGAAATGGGGCTTAAACTCACCCAGAGGTGGACACTAAATGCTGCTGGCCTTCCTCGTGATTCCAACATCTAAACATATCAAACAAAACAAATTATCACAATTCCTTTAAAAACATGTGCTTCTATTTTACAAATACCTGTTTTCTGATGCTCTATGGAGTGCCTTTTGTAAGTATATGTCTCCTACCCTGCCTTCATTGACACACTATGACCTCAGCAAACAACACGATCAGGTTCATCAGGGATCATTTGACTTGAACCAGTCTTTGCAGATCACTGTTCCTTATTAATGTTGATAAAACGCAACTGAAGATCCTTTGGCCTGTCATACCCTACTGAAGAATTGCCCAAGCTTGTCCCATAACCAATAAAATTAATTGTCACTTTCATGTCTAATTGCTTTTTGAAAGTTCTCTGCAGGCAGCATTTCAGCAGCTTCTTTCCAGATATTACCAACTGTGTAAAACAAACTTACTCTTCCAGTTATTTTGTGAATTATTTTAAATTTGTGATCTCTGGTTGCTGGTACACAGACCAGAGGAAATAGTTTTCTCCTGAATTGTCTTGTCAAAATCCCTTAAAATGGTAAACATCTCGAAGCATTCTGACACACTTACAAGTACTCTGCAATCTCGGCCTTAAAAATGGGCTCTGAAATGTTAACAACAACAGAGGTCAGGCTAACTAGCTGATAGTTTCCTGTCTTCTGCCTCCCTCCCTTATTAAACAGGGATGTTACATTTAGCCATTTCCCAGTCCTCTGGGACCCTCCTTGACTCCAGTGATTCCTGAAAGATCACACCAATGCCTCTGCAATCTCATCAGCTATCTCCTTCAGAGCTCTGGAGTGCAGGTCATCCAGTCCAGGTGATTTATCTGCTTTCAGACCTTCCAACCTTCCCCTCCTCCTTAGTGATGGCCACTAGACTCCCCTTTGATCCCTGACGTTCTTAAAGTTCTGGTACGTTGCCGGTGTCTTCCATCATGAAGACTGATGCAAAGTACACATTGAGTTCCTCCATGTTCTTGTTCCCCATTTCTACTTCTCCAGCATCATTTTCCAGTGGTCCAATGTCTACTATTGCCTCTCTCTTATCTTTTAGATATCTAAAAACTAACTCTTGCAATCTTCTTTTATTATACTAGTTAGCTTACTCTCGTACTTCACCTTCTCCCCCCTTATTGGTTCTTTAGTTACTGTCTCGTTTTTAAAGGCTTTCCAATCCTCAGGTTTCCCACTAATCTTCACCACATCATATGCTTTTGCTTTTGATTTCTTGCAGTGCCTGACCTGCCTTGTCCTCCCCTTAGTATGTTTCTTCTTCCCTGGAATGAATTTCTGCTGTGCCTCCCGAATTACCCCCAGTAATTGCTGCCCCACCGTCTTCTCCGCTAGACTCCCCTTCCAATCAACTCTGGCCAGTTGCTCCCTTGTGTCTTTGCAGTTACCTTCACTCAGCTGTAATTCCAGATTCTCCCCCTCAAGCTGCAGGGTCAATTCCATCAAATGATGATCATTGTTCCCTGGGGATACCTTCAGCTTCCTACATATGCCTCATTACATATGTAAACATGTTTGAAAGTAACAGGATTGATCAATAAGTTTGTAGATGGTATGAAGTGTGGTGAATAGTGAGGATGATAGTCTTAGATTATAGGAGGATATAGATGGGCTGATCAGTGGCAAATGGAAAAGCAGTGATTTGCTGCATTTTGATTTGAATTTGATTCTCTATGAGGGCCTGAGTTGAAAGACTCTGCCTTTACAGCCTTCGCTATAGAGGTCATGGAGACACCCAGTATTATATCATGGAGGCGTTGGTGTGGATTGAACAGGGTGGGTGCCCACACCATGGTGCTGGGGAGATTGGAGTCCTCCCCATGTCCCACTCCACACACTGTAAGCTCCCTCAGTGGCACTGTCATGCCCACCCCGCCCCTACACTGCCTGTGCTATTATTAATATTGAGACTAGGACCCAAAGGCACAGCCTTAGAGTAAAGGGAAGACCTTTTAGAACAGAGATAAGGAGAAACTTCTTCAGCCAGACAGTGGTGAATCTATGGAATTCCCTGCCACGGAAGGCTGTGAAGGCCAGGTCATTGAGTACATTTAAGACTGAGATAGA